AATCTACGTATGACACAAAGTATCACAGGTTGATCAAATTCAGAGGAAAAGATAATGGCCTTCAAGTTGGATGAACAGGAAAGAAGATGCAAGTTCAAATTCTGCAAAAATATTTGCAGTACAATGAACATTAGAGATAAAAATAACTGAACTAGGGTCTGCAGTCTTAATTATTCATACCGTAACCTTCACTGCATACTAAAGAAAAAGGACCTATGCAAAGACTAATGCTTAATGCACATCTGTAATCAGTAAGATACAAAGACAACACGCAGTCTATAGGATGAAATGGATAATATTAAAAAGTAAGTATATAAACAGGCAGTGATACTTCATGACAAAGCCCGAAAGGAAATACTTGTAGGGTCATTTTAAAAGAATATATTGCACAATTAGAAATTGTTCACAGAAGAAAATAACAAGAAATTAAGGACAAGGAAAAACTCATCAGTGAAGAAGGATGAGAGAGACTGATGAGACAATTCTTTTCTGAATGAGGTATTAAAGGGCAAGATACAATAAAAGCATACAAAACAAAGTTAAGCCAGGGAAGGTATAATAAGTTTTCCCTCCTTCATCCTATATCAGTGAGGAAACAGTACTAAACTTCAAGATGTTCCACGAAATTTGCAACTGTCCCATTTCAAAATAGTCAATGAAAGCACCGTGGCATTCTCATTGCCAAAGAATTTAGGCTATGCTAAGAATTTAGAAAGACTCAAAGTGGAATTCCATCTTTATATGATGAAAATTTATATAACTAATGCTAAAACTCTTTGTAGAATGTAAATTGTCAGGATTCACATGTTAAACCGAGGTCATACTATCTAGGATTAGGAGTAGATTTTCTTAGGGATCTTCTTTATTCACTACACAGCTCCTGCATCTTCCTCCAAGGCTTCTGATCCTGACAAGTGTCAGAAAAAGGCCATTGGAAAGGGACACCGTGATTTTGATCTATCACTTCAATATTACTATATAATGTCTTCTAAAAAGGATACTGAAGAGATAAACCAGACTGTGTATGACAGCAACTAGTTGAACACTATGTTAGCTCTGGTTTCTAATTTCAAGGGCTATCCAAATTTATGGTGACTGTTCCACAGTCAGAATCCAGAGTAATGAAACTTTCAAATAGCAATTTCCCCTTTTTGCATTCAGTCTTACAGCGCTAGTCTAACTCTCCAAACTCCTCTTAAATTTTATTATTGGTGCTTATTTGGCTGGATATCAAGACAAATTAGTGAGTTCGAGTTGTGGAGATTTGTTGAGAGCTTTTGATTTTAGGGCAGAACCAATTATTGCTGAGCATACTGCTCCAGCTCTGACAAGAGGGTTAAGTGGCTTGATTCATATTTGCATTCACGCAGCACTCATGTACAAAAAGGTAAGTAGTGGAGATTGTTTAGCAGAGACAGAGAGAAAGGACGTGCATGTCTCCCAGTTTTGTAAACTACTCATCAGATGAAGCAAATTGCTAGTGCATGCACACATGAGCACAAGCAGCATAAAGATCGTCCTTTCGCTTTTTTAGGCATATTGCTACATCAGTGCCTGAGACTTAGGGCTTCACAGGTCTGGTTTTCATTAAATCTGCCAGAGATGTACGGACCGCTAACACTTTTCGTTGTACATGGCTGTTAATATGAATAGATTCTTATGCATGAAAATTCCTAATTATGCAAATAATTGACCACTTCCACTTCAGCCCTTTTGAAAATGATGCATAATATACCTGTTAAATTGAGGACTGATATGGAAATGGAGAGAGTGGAAGATAAAGCAGAATTCATTGTATTTTAAAATGGTAGAAGTATATTTAACTGATTGCATGGGTCTTTTAATTTCTTTTTATTTTATTAAGAAGGTTTCTCATACAATAATTATTTTGTTTCTTATATAGTGATTATTTTCTATCCCATATTATATTACATTTGCCAGCATAGCATAGGTGGTAACTGCAAACGACACAACTCATCTTAAAAATAAGAAGCCCCATCACTCCCCAAGTAACCCTATCAATCAGATTTTTTATTAGTTCAGGTAAGATCTATTTCAAATTGTTCTCTATTCTGTAAGTATGAATAAAAAATTTTGCAAGGCTTGATAGAAAAGACTCCATTCAATCGAAGTTCCTCAGGAAGGCATATTCCCCAGTGTATTTGCCTTTTTTTTCCTCCTCGTCATTTATCCTGTATCTTATGTCTGGCATTCTAGAAGGCAAACATTTTTTAGAGCTTCTAAAACACCTCAGGCTATGCTGACAGCTACAGATATGTAACCATATGGTTCCTTAATTACTTAAATCACTATGTAATGCCTATGTGCTAATGTTCAAGACACATTTCACTCTGGTGTTAGCCCAAGGGGACCCATCTGATAGTTTGTAACCTCATGACTTTGGCATTGCTTGTTTTGCTTGTGTAGCATTTCCTTCGTAACTCTCTTAAAATATAAGGGTCATTTCTCAGACAGATACCTACTGACTAAAAACTGTGGAGTCTTCTTGCTTGAAAACCTCACTGTATTGTTACTGCTTACTGTATATGTCTATCTTTGTTCCTTTTTTCAGTTTTGCAGATGATACAAAACTGGGAGGAGTGGCTGATCCACTGATGGTTATGCTACCATCCAGAGGGACCTCGACAGGCTGGAGAAACGCTCCAAAAGGAACCTTATGAAGTTCAGCAAAGGGAAATACCAAGTCCTGCATCTGCAGAGGAATAACCTCTAGCACCAGCAAAGGCTGGGGGTTGACTGGCTGGAAAGCAGCTCTGCAGAGAAGGAGCTGGTGGTCCTGGTGGGCAACTAGCTGAACGTGAGCCAGCAATGTGCCCTTGTGGCAAGGAAGGCCAACATCATCCTGGGCTGCATTAGGAAAAACGTTTCAAGCACATCGAGGGAGGTGATCCTTATTTTCTGCTCAGCACTGGTGAGACACACCTGGAGTGCTGGGTCCAAGCGCAGAGCTCCCCAGTACAAGAGAGACATGGACATACTGGAGTGAGTTCAAAGGAGGGCCATGAAAATGCTTAAGCAGTTGGAGCATTCAACATATGAGGAGAGGCTGAGAGAGCTGGGACTGTTCAACCTGGAGAAGAGAAGGTTCAGTGGGATCTTACCCATCTGTACGGATAGATGGATTTACCTGAGTAAAAGGACAGAGCCAGGCTCTTTTCAGTGGTGCCCAGTGACAAGACAAGAGACAATGGGCACAAACTGAAACAGAAAACTCCATTTAAACATAAGAAAAAGCTTTTTTTACAGTGAATGTGATCAAACACTGGAGCAAGTTGCCCAGAGAGGCTGCAGAGTCTCCATCATCGGAGATTTTCACAACGTGACTGGACACAGCCCTAAGCAACCTGCTCTAGCTGACCCTGCTCTGCAGGGGCTAGGACTACAGACCTTAGGAGGTGCTTCCAGACTCAACTACTATGTGATTTTGTAGTTCTGCAATACTACTTTTTTAAAAAAATCATACCTAAAGGCAATTTACTTCTTCCTCTCTACAACTACAAGTTTCAAGTTTGGTAAAAGACTTTCCAAAAACTGCTGGATTTCTTTGATCTTGTCCCCTGAAATATGAGGGGAAAAAAAATTACACAGCCACTTCCTAGTGAAAGAATGAAAATAACTTCATCTCTCGTAAAAGGACAAGAATATTCACTGCATTTCATTAAAAATAATAGAACCAAGCATTCCTACCCTATTTCAATAAGATTGAAGATTATTAAAAACATTTTGACATTCATTTACCTGATGCTGTGTGTCCACCACTTGCACACTGGAAAACACTGTTTTCTGTAGTTTGTCAGAGGGAATCCTTTCCTTCATATTTGACAATGTTGTCTATGAGCAGTCTGTGACTGAATAATCATAATCTTTGATTATGACCAATCCATGACTGAATGTTACAGCCATGCTATCAAGCAGAATTCCTCCATCTCCACATCCTTCATTCTCTCATCCTATTATCCTATTTCCTCTTCTTGTTCTGCCTTTCTCAAAAATACATTGCTGACAATAATTATGTTCATCCCCATGTTGGAACCATGTTCTCAAAGGTATCCGATGGTGTATTACATTCCTTTTTTTTTGCCAGGGATATGGGAACGGACAAAATGAAGAAGGCTGTTTGCTAAGTTGGAGTTTTTCTTTCTACAAGATCAACATATTGCAACAAAAGCAGTATCTTTCAGTATTGTTGTGTGATATCACCAGGATAAAATGTATTACAGTAAAGTAGACTTTAAACACGTTAAGCCTCCACAGAATAAACAGATTTTGGAGTGTTAATCTCCTCAAGACCTGCACTAAAAGAATAAAACTAAACTCTGTCCTTTCAACTAAAGTCTCTCCATTTCCACATCAGTCTTCAATTCAGTAAGTGTGTTATGCATTATTTTCAAAACTTTCTTCTCCAATTCAGTATTTTCTGCTTGAAATCTTGTCCTCTTCTGGCTGTTGTTGAACTTGTGCATCCCAAACTCAATTCAACTAATTTTTCTTTTTTTAACCTAACTTTCCTTTTCTACTTTTTCTGTAATGAATACACTGGACTCTGTTACTGGCTCTCCCACCACCACCATATCCTATCTTCGTGTGTTCCCACTCACTCCATGGTATTTAGCTCCTATTTATGATTGCTAATGGCTCACAAGCTACCTTTTTTACCTTTCTATTGTGCTATCCAGCCATTATAGTAAAGTACTATGAACTGACATCCTTCCAAAACTGTATCTCTGCCCAGTTCAAGAGTACATTTGCTAGTCTTACAACTCCACAGAGTCCTGGCTGAGTATGTACTCTGTATTTGACAAGTAAACCCCTTATATTTACTGCCTATGTTTGAATTTAGAATGACAGTTATGAGAAGTTTACTATTAAGGAATCAGGTTTTGACCTTCTTGGCCACAGAGTACATTATGGTTTTGGAGCAAAAACAAGGAGATGATAGTTTCTGCCACAGTTTTCAAGAATCATCAGAGAATGTTCACCTTTATATATGCCATTGTATCCTCCGTGGACTTCTCCAGAACTGGAGATCTCTTCAATATGAGCCCCTTGGTCAGACGTAAAGTATACAAGAGTTTTATTACTCAGATTATATTTCTCCAGCACATCCAGAATCTGCCCTAAAAAAAAAAAAAAAAAAAAAAAAAAAGAAAAACACAGAAAAAAAGAACAGCTTTAATGTCTTCAAGTGGCTTTTTTTTCATTAACCTTGGCACATACAAATATTTTTGTCCTTTTGCCTTTTCAAGATTGCTTTCCATCTAAACATTATTATACATAGCAATTGGCACTGTGCAGCATACAGTAGGGGACAATTGCACAAGGCTTGTTGCAATCAGGACCATGGTTCGATTGCTGCAGGGTTTCTTGAAATATAAAATGAGAAGATTTGTGCACATCAGAGAAAAGGGCTAATCCACAGAGAGCCAGTGACCTTTGGAAGCAGTTGCTCTCAATCAAGGAAACCCCTCAGCAAGAAGATTCCAACCGCTGAGGATATCTGAAAGTCTCAGCATGCAGAATAGAGCTAAGAGTTTGGGGTAAAGCTTTGCTGCCTAGCAACCTATAGAGGCAGCATGGCAAAAATCTCAGTGTGATGTTAGAATAAGACATTCTAAGAAAAAAAAGGAAGTTAATGTATGGAGTGCCTCTGGAGACCACACAGTTTCATTATCAAACCTACTAATTAGTCCCTAATTTCTCATTATATAAGAACAGACATTGACTAAACTCAAAATGCGCAAGGTAATAAACACACACATGTGCACATATTTAAAAGAAGAATCCACACGGATATGCTCTGAAACTCCAAGGCACTGTGGGCTCACATTTCTTTTTCACAAAGGGTTCCTCACACTACCTTGGCACTGTGGAGAGCCTTGCAGTGCACGTAAATTACATTTAAACTTATTTAGACTGAGTTCTTTAAAGAGGGTTTCTGTATGAATGAGAGTGAAGTCGCTCTTTGTAACTTGCTCCAGTGAATTTTATACTGATCAGGAATCTAAAATTATTGGTCCTGGAAACCGACCAAAGTATAAGAATATACTTCTTCACATCAGCCTGCAAATGAACTTTAACCTTGTCTTTTAGGGATCCCAGAGCATATAAAGACAATTCTGTCTTCACAACCTTCTTATCTTTATTCTTTTTACTTAAACATGCAAGAATGGTCCAATTTGAATGTTAATTTTGATTTGCTCACCTGTCCACTAAGAATTAATTCATCAGCTGATGCCCAATTATTGTGTCAAAGAGGATGAGATAAGAACTTTGAAATACAGAGCCTTCTTTAATGATTTTCAGATCATCATTTCTGTTACTATGCTCTTTTTTCTGGATAAGTAGTTACCTTACCTTATTGCTACTATTTCTACTTGCCTTTTAATGTTATAGCATTCTAAAATTCCCTTGTTAAAAAGGTTGACTGTTTTCACTTCTCATCAGCTCAAATGACTGAGTCATGAATAAAGGAGCATTGGCAGTTAAATAAGTGATACCTGTTGGTCTTATTTGTAAACTAGGAGCAAAGAATAAATGTGAGAGTAGGAGAATTTATTTATGTAAATTTTGAAACCTCGTGGGAGTTGAAATTTCCCAACAGAGCTGAGGAAAATCTGTTACAAAGGTTGACATTTTAAAGTTGGTGGGTTGAGGGAAAATCATGCAGATCCATCTGACAAGCCATTCTCTTGCTGCAGCAGGTGGACTTAGTGCCAGGAAAAAAAGAGGCAATTTCCCATTGGCTTCTGAGATTGTCTGGGGAATGTACTTGCTAAGTAATTATAATATGCCTTGGAAAGGTGGCAATGATGATAAAAAAGTGGAGTATATAGATAAATTAGGACATTATGTGTGGGTATTCAGCCACATGACCTCCAGAGTTCCCTTCCAACCTGTGTCAATCTATGACTTTATGATTCTATGATAATAATAATAAATAGGATTTCACAAAGAAATATATGTGCAATGACATGCACAAATGATTTTTTTTTTACCTACACAGTTTTGCTTGATTAAATTGGATTTTCAAATTCATCCTGTATATAAAACAAATGAAAATAAAACAAGAATCCCACTCAGTACATCACATTAAATGATCTCCGGTGATCAGAGATATCTGCTGTCATTCAGTAATGGCCATTTTGATTTCCTAATTAATCTGGGAAAAAATGAGAAGCAATGAAAAATGTCTCGCTATCACAATTAATTAAATAAAGCAGTCATCATTATGATGATTTTTTTTTTCCCAAAACAAGGTTGAATAGCTTGACTTGGCCTGAAAAAAAAAAAAAAAAATCTGACACTCAAATGTTCCCCATTTCAGAAAAAAACACCCCAATAAAATGCATAGAAAGTCTCATCCAAAGCTTGTTGAACTCAATGGTAAAACTTCCATTTCCTTCATTTGGATTATGAAACACAAAGAGGATTGACTACATTAGGGTTAATTAACAAATGCTAAAATGACAATTTATTTTAAAACATTTTCCAGTAGAGATGGACTAATAGTGGTGATTCAAATAACACTGTTGTCAGAGAATGGCAATCACAATGCACTCGCAGAAATGAAGCAAAACTTCGATTTCTATTTTCATCTTGAACACTGACACCTTCTAGAATGAAAATTATAAATAAACAAAAAAGTGTGTGCTACCAGGAGATAAGCCCCAATAAAGTGCATTTGAATGACGTGGCTACTGTTAACACAAGCAATACATTCACTTATTAGTGTTTCTAAATGGTAAACAATACAGAAGAAAAATGCAAAGAATGTATTGTGGATCTCTATGAACAGATATCTTTCACATGCAATATTATATCAATTTTGGAAGCAAATACTACAAAGTAGGCAAAATACATCCATTACTGTTTTCTTATAACAATTTAATTTCTTTTTTACTCTAACTCCTTCACTCTTATTATTTCTGTAGATTTCACAGAGAATTTAAATTAAGTTAAAATTGATGTATAAACATTCCCAGGCAATGCCAGTTAATGAACAAGGAGGAGTTTCATCTAACCTATTTTAGTTGCCTAATTTTGGAAGAGGTGAATCACAACTGCAAAAAGGCCTTTTTTACCTGTTGACTAAAAAAGAGAAGACAGGCAACTAGCTTAAAACTAAATACCTTCATATTAGACATCAAGGACAGTAAGATGAATCCTACCCAAAGTGTTAGACATGCAACTACCTGAGCAACACACTTTAATGAGTGTTGTGAACAGATAAATGATGTCTGAGTAAGAGAAGATGGTAAAACTGTATTGCTTCACCCATAAAATATGATTGGAAGGGTATCATATGTCATGTGCTCCTGAATTACAAGAATGGGGCTTCAGCTGGCTTAGTATCCCATTTGAGTCCCATTGCTGGTTGCAGAAAGCAATACAAATTTTAAAAGACTTTTTGGATGTAAAGCTTTTATACAGAATATGAAACTGTAGGATAAATAAGCCAAAACACTGGGAAAACTGTAGCTCTGTTCAAGCAACAATAGCTTGCTATCTCCAGTGTAGGAAATGATCAATAAAATTTGAAGGATTCTTGACTGAAAAGACTCACTTGAAAGCCATGTTCTAAAAAATTAACAGCTGTACTGATCTCTGTGGATGCTACCGTATACATTTTTTCTGATTTGAACAGAACAGATTTGGAAAGACAACATTTCTGAACAACAAAATCAATCTAAGACTGAAGGAGCTGCATAATTTCTGAAGCTACTTAGCAACTAGAATTTCAAATCAATTTTCTCCTACTATTGCCATTCTAGGAATGTATACCCCAACGTAGGTGGCTAACATTGTAGCAGACAAAGGCATTAGATCATTCAACAGTTTTCCTTCATTTCTATTTTTTAAGATACAAAAGAGATTAAGGGCAGCATTAAGATGTTACTTGTTTTAATTAGTATGTCAATGTTCCAAAATTTAAGTAAAGTTTCCTCCAAAGTATAGAGGACTGTTCTCTACATTCTGTTCTCCACTCTTGCTTCAACCTATGTTAAATTATAGAGTTGTTTCATTCTTAAAGTGAAAATGCCAGTTTCAATGGAGTGATAGCCGTGTGAAAGTGGTAAGAGCAATTGACTCTGTTCTTTAGAAGGAAACTGAGTGCGCCATGCCACTATTCAACTTGTCTAACATAGCATGAATGATAGCTGAACCAGCCTCTCTAATGCTGCACATAATTTCTGGAGTTTTGAACCATGTAAAACTCCTACTGTACTCATCTACATTAAGATATAGGGTTTACAGAAAATGACTATTCATTTGAAAACAAGGTACAAACATTGAAAAACAATAACGTGTTTAAAAATGTGTTAGTGATTTGGAAAATTGTTCAAAGGTTTAGTCAAGCAAGCATATGAACAAATGCATTTGATTCATAAATTAGCTTACTGTCATCTGAAGTCAATAGGACAGAAATATTATTTGTATTAATTTGAAATAATTTAGAGTCTTGCTGAAATTATGAATAAAAAGCTCTAGAATACGGAATACCTCTGTGTAATCTAGGCATTAGGACAAAACTGTCTCTCTATTAGTGAGGAAAGCTTTAAAGCAGTTTGCCAGATTTGAGGAAACAACAGGATTCAGAAGGAGGGTTAAGGATCTATCTCAGGACAAGACAGTTGACAATAAAGGGAATTCCTGTAAATATAACAATCTTTTCCCACTCCAGCAGACTTTCACATACCTCTGTTGTATCCAGAAGGTTACAGTAAGCTTGAGACAATTATTGGACAAAGAGTGATCTGGGAAGATCAGCCATCACATTGCTGCCTAGAAGAGGCAGTTTGGTTTTTTGGTTTGTTTTTTTGGTTTGTTGTTTGTTTGTTTTTTTATTTGCTGTTTCAAAATTCCCTACTGATACTAATGTGTGTTTTTTTAATAGCATCATTAACCAGAATCACAACTAACTTGTAGTCAACTGAAGAGGTTCACCTCTTGTGAGCGGCAAGCCAGGAGTGCTTTGAATACACACATAAACTCCTACAAATTAACCCTACATGCATAAGTATGTGGAAGCCCATACTTCCCCCAGAAAAGATATTGATGCCATTCAACTTTATAGCCATTACATAGTAAACCTCTTGGGACCCTCTTCCTGCTACAG